GAGCTAACATCTGATGCCAATCCTCCTCTTTTTGCTGAGGAAGATTGGCCCTGGGCTAACATCTGTGCCCATCTTCCTCTATTTTATACGGGATGCTACCACAGCATGGCTCGACAAGCGGTGCGTCGGTGCACGCCCGGAATCCGAACCTGCAAACCCTGGGCCACCGAAGCGAGGTGCGTGAACTTAACCACTACGCCACTGGGCCGGCCCTAGCTCTATTTTATTCTGTTTTTATTCCACTGTTACAACTGCAAATTTGAGGTTTTATTTGGACTTGAGTCATTCACATTAAATATTCGAGCATAATCCATCTGATATCTTTGTATGACAATCCTTTCTGGATATTCAGAATATCCAGATATTTTATTTAAATACTGATATCTATTCTGATGAAATAATGCTAAAACATTCCAAGGAAAAGAAGAAAGAAACCTACTCCTGTAGTTAGAAATCCTCCCCTTGGGATCTACCCACAAAAAGTGGAGTATTAGTTTCAGCACTGACACGCAGGCACTTCTATTAACTCACTGCCATCTACCCTGAAGGAGAAACAGACACACAGAAAAAGTACCGAGGAGTTCCTGGGTGCAGGTGAGTTTCCAATCTTAGACACACAAAACAGTCAGAGGACACCCCAGAGAGAAGGAAGATGCCCTGTGCTCTCCCCAGTGTCCCAAGTGGGGAGAAGTAATAACAAGACTCTGCTGCCACACAGGAGGGGCTTGAGCCAGGGAGAGGAACTGGCAGGATTTGGCAGGGCACTATCAACACAGGGAACAAGAAGGTGAGACCCAGCACATCCCTGGGTGACGAGACAGCCGTGCTGAGGCTGAGCCCAGGCCCTGGAGGCAGATGACAGTGGACTGGGACTCCAGAGAGGGGAGTACGTCAGGAATGATGTACAAGTATGGTCCATCAGGAGGTCTGGACCCACGGGGATACCAGATGGAAATCATTCAGAAGGGTGAATTTATACACAGCTTGGATAACGAGCCACAAGAGACTTGCAAGGGGGCAGGGCCACTATTGAAGAGGGTAACAGTGCCGCCATCAGGAGCAACATCGAGGAAGCTGATGCCCAGAGGGCCAGAAAGTGCCAGAAAATATAAAGGTTAATGACAGAGCTGGACTTGAACTCAGTCAGGTCCCCCTGCCCTCACTATCCGGTTGTCTCCTACAAGTCTGACCATGCTTCCTCAGTCTCCTTTTTACCCCTGTCCTCTAAAATTTGGAAGGATCAGGGTCTTCACCTGCAAACCAGAGACAGCCAGGCCTCCTCATGGATCATAAGCTTCAGCCTCACACAGACCCACAGGGCCCACGTACCTGGCCCAGCCCCAGCACAGCAATGCTCACCTCCGGTAGCTCTCCTCTTGTAACAGGCTCCTGAGGGTCTGCAGGTCCCCCACGTAGGCTGCATCATGGAGCCTCGTGTCCTCACAGTGCTCCAGCGGATGGTCACAAAACTGCTCCCTCAGCCACTCCTTCAGATTAGGACCTGCACTGAAGAGAGGGGCTCCTCTCAGCTCGGGAAACCCTACCCATGCCAACCAAGAGGGGGCACCATCTACAGCGAGCCCTTCCTCTCCCGGCTACAGGGGTACTCGCAAACTCTCAAGAATAAATCAGTCCCATGCTAAGGAAACTTCCAGAGCACAGAAAAATATAGAAAAATGTTGGTGGGGAAAAGGGTTATGAGCCAAACCTACTTAAGAATATAGGAGGTCCTAAATAAAATATTAGCAAAGTGAAACTTAAAACATGTACCAAAAAATCCACCATAAAATCACTCTATTTATTTTAAGAATGTAACAATGTCTTAATATTGGGGAAAAACCATACAATCACCTCCTATATTACAAAAAGACATTTAAATTTGGAAAAATTCAACAGCTAAATGCTGCTACTTGTAACAAGGATGACTCTACTGAATATAAGTTACACCTCAATAAGAAGGGAAGTTTAAAAATATATGCATATAGGGGCCAGCCGGCAGCGCAAGCGGTTGGGTGAGCGCACTCTGCTGCGGCAGCCCGGGGTTCGCCGGTTCAGATCCCAGGCGTGTACAAACGCACCGCTTGTCAAGCCATGCTGTGGCGGCATCCCATATAAAGTAGAGGAAGATGGGCACAGATGTTAGCCCAGGGCCAGTCTTCCTCAGCAAAAAAAGGAGGGTTGGCAGGTTAGCACAGGGCTGATCTTCCTCACAAAAAAAAAATATATATATATATATATATATGCATATAAATAGAAAGCCAACCCTATAAAATGAAGACTATAAAATGGAAAAACAATAAAGAAGACTAAAATAAGTGGGGAAAACGACATCATGTAACTTGGATGAGAAGATTCAAAGATAAGAAAATTTTAAATAAATAAATACCAAATTAAAAGGTTTAACAAATCTTTTAGGGGTTTTTATATGAGATGTGACAAAAATACTCTAAAAGTTTATTTGGAAATACAAATGAGAATCACTTTTTGTTTTTTCAGTATGTATGAGAAGAGATCTACCCTGCTAGATAATGCAACTTATTATCTCTCTTCAGAATAAAAAGATAAATCAAACAGAATTAACCACCCAGAAAGACCTTAGTATAAATAACTTAGTATGTGATAAATGGCCTTCAAAATCAGCGAGGCATGGAAAGAGTCGTTGCTACAGACTGAATGCTTGTGTCCTCCAAAAATGCCCCCCCTAAAAACTATGTTGGAATCCTAACCCCCAAGGTGACGATATTAAGAGGCAGGGCCTTTTGTAGGTGTTAGGTCATGAGGGCAGAGCCTTTGTGAATGGGATTTGTGCCCTTATAAAAGGAACCTAGAAAGCTCCCTCGCCTCCTACCATGTGAGGACACCGCAAGAAGACGGCTGTCTATGAACCAGGAAGCAGGCCCCCACCAGACACCAAATCTGGGGCACCTTGTCTTGGACTGCCCAGCCACCAGAACTACAGAAAATAAATTTCTGTCGTTTATAAGCTACCCAGTCTATAGTATTCTGTTACAGCAACCCCAAAGAACCACAGGTAGTCAACAAATTCGTAGTTAGATGCCTATTTGCAAATAATTGAGTTCTTCACCTCACCCTAGAGCCCAAAATAATCTCCAGATAATTAAGAGTTTTGTAAACACAATTACACAGACAGGCACATAACAAAAGAGCACAAACACAGACCGCCTGCATCCAAGTCCCCGCCGTGCCACACTGTACTGACATGTGACCAAGCACAGTTGTAAAGCACACCCCTCGACAGGTAGCCTCTTTCCAATGCTGAAGTTGCTTTCTATATTCAAATCAAATCTCTTTTGAATACCTACAGTATACACGGCTCGGCCATAGTACAACAGGAGTGATGAGTAAGCTTCCGTGCCCTTGAGGATTTGACAGTCCATGGGCAGAGGTAAGACACAAAGGCCACAGGCAGGTGGGCAGTGCAGCAAGGGCTCACAAACACGTGGGTCACTGGAGCTGATCCCACAACCAGACCCGCAGCAGATCCACAGGCAGGCAGCAAGAACCCCCTTGGGGCCACCATCCCAATCCTCCTTCAGTCATTATCCTCCACTGTAGTTACCCCATAGAGTAAAGAAGTTCAAAGTAGGAATGGCAAGATTCAGACAGTGTAGGGCGAAGACTGACAGGTGAGTGGGAGCCACAGACTGTTGCTAAGTTCTCCTCTGGGCCTCCCTTTGCTGGCCTCTTTTCAAACCACTCCCTGACCCAGGTCAGGACAGCCCCCTCTTCCCCAGCTCCAGCTCCAAGGATAAGTTCAGGTTTGCATTTCTCTGATCAACTTTTCCAGTGACAACACAATTACCCAACACAGCACTTAAGCTTTAACTGGAAATCTCTGTGGCCCCTCCACTCCCAAGCCTGCAACACACTAAATAACAAAACAGTACTGCATGGACAAAAAAGGAGCCCCTGTATACAGGGCAGAGCCAACCTTCCTTCCACAACACTCCTCTCTATCCTGGGAAGCAGCTGGCAGTTCTCTTTTTCCAACTGAACACTTCTCACTCCATCTCTCACTCTCACATGAAAGGACATCCCAGACCCTAAAGTCCTGGCTGTCCCTGGAGACAAAGTCAATACCAACCAAAGCCAAAGATGGAAGGGGCTTTGTGTGACTTGTTCTTCTTCACTGGGGTGTCCCCAGCTCCAGCAAGGTCCAGCCAATAGTAGGTCCTTAATAGATGTTCCTTGAATGAATGGATGGAGGGAGGGATGGAGGGAGGGACTGATGAAAAGCACTACTTGCACCAGTCTCCAAGTCAACATTATAGGCTTCATTTGGGTATTTTGGCACATTTGAGAGTTAGAGTAATAAACTTCTCAGCTTATTACTAAGAAGCACTAATAGACTCTTTAGAGGGGTATCACTCCAAAGACATAGATGAATAAATCCAGAGCACATAAGAGCATGTGGTACACAGGACAAAAGTTCAGAAAACAGACAAGGAGGGAACCCCACCACAGGTTAAGAGGGAATGTCTCCTGAACACCTGCAAACGACAGGCTGCCCCTGCAAATCCACATCTGCATAGTAGGAATATATCAAGGTGGAGACCCTAAGTCAGATGGCTATTTTGGGTGGTGGGCGTGAGCCTTTCTAGCTGCCTCCTCTGCTGGTGGGCCAAGGGCCCCTGGACATGCTGTGTCACTGACAGCTTGCTGGCGATGGCACTGTCGCTGTCCCTTGCCTGCGCGTGGCGGGGGTGGCCTGCTCTATCACCCTGGGCATGCCGCGGGGGGCAGGATGGAGAAAAGGCAGCTGCGCTCCCCAGGGGCTGACCTCTGCCGGCTTTCCTGACCGGTGCGCTCACAGCTGGATGATCCATGTCCTGTTTCTACAGTTGGGGTCCTATCGAATCAGTATCGGATAACGGGCGGGCAGTCACAAGGCAAACTCCCCAGGAGAGGAAATCCGGCGCCAGGACAGTTCTCGCGCGGCCGAGCGGCGGGGGACACGCAGGGTGGACCGCGGCTCCGTGGGCCTGGCCGGGCAGCGGGGACGAGGACGCGTGCCCCGACCCTCGGCGGGGGCGCCGG